AAGTTACAACACTAATGACATTTTAAGAACATTAAAAATAAAATAAAATAAAAATTAAAGGGTGTGTCTGGATAATCTCTGATCTATATCAAAATTGAGCTTAGAAGAATCCTAAAAGTGCATCCGCATAAACTTCAGAATAAATTGTAGAGAAGCTAAGTAATTTTCAAGAAATGATGGAATTAATAAATTTAAAGAATATAAACGCAAATATGTTTATATACATTGTCTTGCTTGAATTGATCAATAAAATAGAAAAGAACGAATACATTCAAACGAATAAAGAAATTCCCGCCATAAATAAGATAGAAAAGAACGAACACATTAAAACGAAAAAGAAATTCCCGCCATAAATAAGATTAGAGGAGGTTCTATGTGACTGACGCTTTGGCAAATGGCTTGACGAAATAAACGTCCTGTGCGACGCACTGTCTGAACGTCTCAACCTTGAGTTTTCCCGACGCCAATGAGACGATGAAGGGAGTGTAGAGCGCGAATATCGCCTCCTCCCTGAACTTGACCCAGCAAGTCTGCGCTATGCCGTCCACATTCCCAACCGCCGGCGGCGGATTTGAACTCGAACTAGACGACGTCGACGCCATTCTCGGGTGGTTGCGCGCGCAGTCACGTATTACTACCACTAGCAGTGGCGGAGGATCGGCGGCAGTAACTGCAAAATGGAAATCGGAAAAGCTAGCAGTACAATTCTCGCTCGGGGATTGAATTCGACTCATCAACTAAATCCAACTCATTCACTTATTTAAGCGCGCTTAATGCCTAGTCGGCTTAACGATTACATGGCAAAACTATGGCGTTGTTCGTTAGGCCGTTAGGGGTTAAATGACATGTTTGTCCTTACATTTAACGCTCTTTTGACACCAAACTTAACGGAGGACTAACGGTGGTTATTTTTTAAAAAATGAATGACATCTCGTGATCGTTTAAAAATTGAATAATCACAACTGGTAAATGACTAATATTCAGAAACTAGGTATTAACTCAAATAATAAATTATAAGCTCAAAAAAGATACATTTATTTGATCCCAACAGATTAAAAGAATTGCCAACTTGAATTAATCTTAACTAATTTAGTTTATATTCAACAATATTTCAGTTAGATATCTACAATCTATCTACAATATACATCTACATCTACAAATCTACATCTACAAATCTAATAAGAGCGAATAATGTTAGGCCCTTAACTGGAACAAAAAAAATGTCGGTACTAATTGTTTCTTAAAATGAATTGTTCATATTATTTTGATTTTAGCATCTTTTAATGATTTTCCTTATTTACCTTCTATTATATTATTTTCTTCCCTTAAATAACCTTAAATTCCGTTAGTTTAAACTTTAGTAACGGAATATTCCGTTAACTATTTATTATTCTTAACATACTCTTAATTTATATAAGGTCTTAGGTTCGAACCTCATCCCAAGTATAGTTGGCATAATTGTTAAACATATATTATGAATATGTTAAAATGCATTAAAAAATATATAATATAAAATTTAACATAAACTTTGGTCAAATAATTAGCTCGACTAAATACATAGCATTCAAAGTTGAGCATCAAAGATTATAAATCAGGAACTACTTTAAAATCATTTGATTTTCTTGAATTTTTTATTTAACAAAAAAATAAAAAATGTAGGTTAAGTTTTTTTTTTTTTAATTAATCTTCTTCTGATTATTTAGAACAAAACTTAATATTTCAATTATGCTTTTGCATTATTGGAATGATTTAGGCCATTATGGTATTAATATTTTTTGTATTTTTTTATAATGGTACAATTGTACATTACTTTACAAATATTATATTATTATTTTTTTATCAGGCAAAATTGTTCTTACATCATTGTCAGACCTACGCGGCCTAACTACAAAGTTGTTGATCATAAATACAATTACACATGGACTCTAAAACGGTAGGATCATTTTCCAAATAATTGACAATATTAACATCATACTAGCTCCAATTGAACAAGTTTACACATCAAAATTTTATCAATGCATGAAAACTTCTAAAGAAATTTGTAAGTTAATTTTTACTATATCATTATATTAATATCTATTGTAACCATATATTTTGAATTATTTATTATCATCCTCTATTAACAGCAATTGTCATGGACAAACTCTCAAAACAATTTGTCTCAACAAAGAATGGAAATTTAAAAAATTATTGATTTCATTATTGTTGAATAAAAGTATGTACGACACTTTATTACTCTTATTAATTAAATAATTAGTAGCTACAACAAAAAATAATACATATGTATTTAATTAATTTAGAATTAGATGTCTATAATGCTTTATTTAAAAAAAATTATTCATCATAAAAAACTTAAAAGAAATATAGTTTCATTAGTTATATTATCTTTATTTTCTACAAAGATTCCTTACCTTCAAATTTATTAATTTATTATATTCACTATATGTTCATTGTCTTCTTTTTTACTATATCATTATATTAATATCTATTTTAACCATATATTTTGAATAATTTATTATCATCCTCTATGACAGCAATTGTAGCAATTGTCATGGACAAACTCTCAAAACAATTTGTCTCAACAAGGAATTGAAATTAAAAAAATCATTGATTTCATTATTGTTGAAGAAAAGTATATACGACACTTTATTACTCTTATTAATTAAATAAATTAGTAGCTACAACAAATTGCAAACATTTATTTTAGTGACAATTATAATCAATCTCTCATATATTATCTTGCATTTATATACTTTAAAGGGGAAATTGTAATTTATGCCCCTCTCAAATATGTCAATTATCAATGTCACCCCTGAATTATCAGTGGTGTAAATGTTGCCCCTCAATTTTCAAAACGTGACATATATTGCCCCTCCCCTAATATGAAGAAGGAGAAAAATTTGTTGTCGACGGAATGAGAACAATCGAAGAAAGAAAAATTGAGGAAAAAAATGTGGTCTTCGAACAAGAAAGACGACGGGTAACCACGTTTACATCACTAATAATTCAGGGGAGGGGCAATATATGTCACGTTTTGAAAATTGAGGGGTAACATTTACACCACTAATAATTCAGGGGTAACATTAATAATTGGTCTATTTATGAGGGGCATAAATTACAATTTTCCCTACTTTAAATTACCAATTTAAATAAACAAATTCACCATTTATTTACCTATGCATGAACATCTCCTATATAATATTGCATTGATATACTTTGAAATACTTATTTAAAAATAATTATTGGGCATTATCCCATTCGCACAAAGCGCGTAAAAAACTAGTATTTATATAGAATTAAACACGGTCAAAAGACCTTCAGTATATGTCTTGGATAAGATCATTGTCCTTGACTAAGTCCTATATGTGATTTATTCTTAATCAAGTGTCCAGTCCTCGTGTTTATCTCTTGTCCAAAAGGTTGAATCCCCAACCCTAAGAGCCCCCACACTCCGATCAGATAAAACATGTGAGATGATGTAAATTACGGTGACTCAATGGTTCAGTAGATAGGGCCAAATGTCAATGCGCACAAAAAATCTGTTAACTTTGGATATAATTCTCACACTACCGCCGGCGAAGTTCAAACTTTGATCTCTTGTCCCAAATACTGTCCACTAAACCATTGAGTTAAGCTTGTGCGGGTAAATCTCGACAAAGTGGCAAGACTTGCTTGAGGACAATCCTTAAACAAGGTGGACTCCCCTACGGCCTACCAACGTTCACAAAATTAATTCAACCATAGATTTATTGTCTTTGGTAATAATTTAAAGTTTAGTTCTAGATTACCATTTTTGTCATTTAACATCCCAAATTATTATTTTTTGGACAATTTTAATCCTTCTCATGACTTTTCATATTTTTAGTAATGACGTTTTTTTTTGTCTCTTCATATTTTTCTTTTGTTATTTTTTCAGTTTCAACTGGTTTAATTGGTTTATGACTTTACTAAAACTGGATTGAAAAAAATGGTTACTAAAAATTAGAGGTTACCTAAAGTTCTAAACCAATTAAACCGGTTGAAACCGGCAAAATAACAAAAGAATACATGAAAAGACAAAAATCTCTTACTAATAATAAGAAAAGTCATGAGAATAACTAAAAATGTCCAAAAAATAATAATCTGACATGTTAAATGGTAAAAGCGATAATTTAGAATTAAATTTTAAATTGTTATAAAAAAAATTAAGAAACCTTTGCTGAAATCAACTCAAATTTCACAAAATATCTATGAAAACTCTTACAATCCTTCGACGACATCCTTCAAATTATTACCGGAGTATAACATTTCTAATTATCTTGTTTATTATTAATTTTATGAAAATAAAAATTCACAATCACTATTTAAATTTTTATTTTTTTTTAAAGAAAATGCTCAAATAAGTCCATAAACTTTTACACAAAAAATTAATTAGACCTTTAAATTTAAAAAAAGTACAATTAAACGCTTAAATATGTTATTTTCGTGCAACTAAATCCACTAACCCATTACCAACCTGTTATAAGCGGTCATTCCTATTATGGCAAAAAATCTGACGAATCTCTAGCCCCAACTACTTATAGTCTTCTTTCTGAGAAGGCCACCATTTGGTCATCTTCTTCGGGAGAAGGCAATCTTTTGTGGTCACATTCTCTTGGAAAAGTCGACATTTTGTGGTCGCCTTCTTCGAAAAAGGCAATCATTTGGTCAATGATCAATTTTTCAGTAACATTTCTTCAGAATGAAACGGATTGAAAATAAATAACGGTATAATTTGATCGATAACTTACAAGTTATCGATAAATTTAACTTATTTAACTAAGAATAACATATTTCAATATTTAATTGCCCTTTTTAAAAATTTAAAAACTTAATTGATTTTTGATGTACAATTTAAAAATTTATTTAGCTATTTTCTCTTAAATGAGACAGTTTATAGTTTATAAACCACACCAAACAATAAATTCACTAAAAAGATTCAATAAATTCACTATGAATCAAACACACCCTAAAATTTTAATGAAATTTGCATTGGATTAGAAAAATTGTGGATATGAATAATATTTTTGGAGCAGAGAATTGGCTTTGGTAAAAGACGGGGGTTCCCTTCCATGGTGACTACAACTCATATGCTTCAATCCCTCACTACTACTGCTCTTCTCAATCGCACTTCATCAAGCACCGTATGCTGCTTCTCAGCCAGGAACGGCGGCCGTAGCGGCGGCTCCAGGTGGGAGAGCAGAACTGGAAATGGCCAGCAACGGTTCAGATTTGACGAGGAGGAGCTCCGAGCTAACGGCGGCGAAAAAGATGCGGAATTCGGTTTCGGTGCCGCCACCAAGCAGAGGATTTGGTGGTCCGATGATGACTCCTCCCGGGGCGATGGCTTTGATGATGAATATGAAGATTTTGAAGGGTTTGGAGAATTAGAGGGCTCCATTGGCTTTTCTTGGATATTCAAGGTAAAAGCGTTATCTTTTCAAGATTTTTATCATTATTTTAGCTTTCACCTGTTCATTATTTTTTCCAATTTTCAATAAACAAAGATGAAAGTAATCATAAATTATAAATTTTGCATTTGGGATTTTTAATATACATGAGTGTAGTGCATACTAGGCAGCATCTCTATCAACTTTTAATGATCATAAGGTTGTATATCACTATACCATTTGAGCCAAATTTGTTGATGCACTAAGCCACTAATGTAGACTGTCTTTAGAAAATGCATTTGATCTGTTTGATTTAGGGTAGAAGGCATGTGCCAGAAGCTCAGAATCATACTGTTTGAGGTTACTTGATATAGGTTAATGGATGCTTGGAACTTTTGCCTTGAACACTAAATGAATTGTGAAGACTCTAGCATTCCCAGATTGCTTTTAGGACCTTCAGTGAGCCCATTTATATAGCATGTGATTTGAAAATTTATCCATTGCTGAAAATGAAACACGTTTGATCTGTTTGATTTAGGGAAGCTCAGAATCATACTGTTTGAGGTTAGTTGATATAGGTTAATGGATGCTCAGAACTTTTGCCTTGAACACTAAATGAATGGTGAAGGCTCTAGCATTCCCAGATTGCTTTTAGGACCTTCAATGAGCCCATCAATGTTTCGTTGTGGCACAACCTATTGATTGATCTTTTCTAGTGTCTTCTTTTTCCTCTTGCCTTTTTGGTTCCCACATGGCTTATTGGTGAAATCTGTACTTGAGTTTTTATTTGGGTTCAGTAACGCATTCATTGACATTGCGTGCAATGTAAAACAAGTAATTGGTGATTGAGCATTAAATCATTGATGGGAGCCCAAGAACATTCTCTAAGTTGTTGCAGTTCTGTTGATCATACTTGAAACAACTTTCTTGACTTTTGCTTATTATTAGTTTATGACTTCTAAGTAGTTAATAGAATCCCGATATTTTGCACAATCAACTGTCTTGAGTTATTGTAGCAACTCTGGTAGATTACTCTATTGCACTGCACACACAAGTGATAATGCTCAATACATATATCATATGGTGATGATATTGGAGTTTCTACAGGTACTCCAAGCCTTTGGTTGGATGGTTCCAGCTGTTCTCGTATCAATGCTTTTAGGAACAGGGACAAATACAATTATAATGGCATTGGTGCTACCCTTAGCCCAATCTTCTCTTTCTTTAATAATGGATGCATTTTCAGGAACATCCTATGACCGTGCAAGACCAAAGTCCAGGACAAGGAAGCGGCCATATGCCAGAGCCAAAGCCAATGCTAGAACGAGAGAGGGAGAACAAAATACCCAGAGCGGGAAGGGAGTTAGGGGATATGGATCAAATGATGTTTCAAATGAAAAGGAGGCGAAAACGACGCAAAATTTTGGTGGATGGGATGAACTAGATAACCCAGGGACTACATCTGCAAACAAAACGCCTAAAACAACCAGACTGCGGAGTGAAGGCAAATTGAGCCGGAGAATAAGCAAGAAAGAAACACCATTGCTGTTGAGGCTACTCATCGCGGTCTTCCCATTCTTGGGATCCTGGACAAAGGTATTGTAATTCTACTGCATTGTTCTTATCTGCAACTGTATTGTAACTCTCACTATGCTTCACAAAGTTCACATAGCGTGTAAAGTTATGGCCAAATTCAAAATCTGAATAACAGTATAAAGATTAAATGTCAATTATGGTTCCACGTTCAATTTATGCATGTGATGTTTTTCTAGCCACAAATTCCAGAGATCTAGAGAAAACTACGAAAGGGAACCAAACAGACAAAAGACCAAAAGACAATGAGTTTTTAACAAGTTTAGATAGGAATGGTGTGGCCTCAAGGGACAGGTCTACTTTGATGTAAGTCCCCTATTGAGACATATATGATATATCTAGCAAAAATTTAGACCCAAAAAAATAATTGTCAGGAGGCTGGACAATTGTTATACTATGGACCAGGGTCCACCTTATACGGTAGATCCTGATTAAAAAATTATGTGTCTATAGTTAACATATTATGTGATTGCAGTTAACAAATTATGTGCTGGTAAATAAATTGAAGGCACATAATTTGTTAACTACATATAATATGTTAACTATAGACGCATAATATGTTAACTACATATTATGTGTCTGCAGTTAACATATTATTTGTTTGTAGTTAACACACATAATCTATTAACTGCAGGCACATAATATGTTAAATGCAAACACATAATAAGAATGCCATTTTGGATCAGGGTCCACAATGCAAGGTGGGCCTGGTCCATGGTATAATATGCCGAGGCTGGACACACCTAATGGCATTATCAGGGCCAAATACTTACCATTATATGCAAAAGAGTTAATACCCAAAATGGTCCCTCGACTATGTCATAATTACCAATTTGGTCCTCAACTACCATTCTTACCCAATTAAGTCCTCAACTATGTACTTTTACTCAATTAAGTCCTCAACTATACAATTCTTACCCAATTTAGTCCTCAACTATACAATTCTTACCCAATTTAGTCCTCTGTATTAATTTGACTGTTTGTTGACTGTCAAAAGTCGTGATAAAATTATAATTTTACAAGATTTCTCCTTCCTCTCCATTTAGCAGCGCCAAACCATGCAGCAATACACTCCGATCAGATTTCGATCGTCAAAAAATCGTTGGAAATCAAATTCATGGGCTATCCTATGCATAACCACTACTTCGATATTGACAGGTTTAGAACCCAACCGGAGCTTATTGCTACATGGTTTGGCGCTGCTAAATGAGGAGGAAGGAGAAAACTTGTAAAATTACAACTTTATTTCCACTTTTGACAGTCAACAAACAGTCAAATTGACAAAGGACTAAATTGGGTAAAAATTGTATAGTTGAGGACTTAATTGGATAAGAATGATAGTCGAGGACCAAATTGGTAATTACGACATAGTCGAGGGACTATTTTGGGTATTAACTCTATGCAAAATGTTGGACTTGACAGTTCAGCTGGTCAACCAACCTAAAATAGCTTCGTAAACTTTGCACGTCCTGCCATTTATCTCCTTCACCAGTCTCTGGAGCAAGAGCGGTAAATGACCCTTAAGTTTTGGGGTTCAAACTTGTGCTTTTATTTATTAATCTATGGTTGAAGTAGACAAGGATGAAAAGAAGAATGGTAGTAGCATGCACGGGTAACTCAGTTTGTTCCTGAGTGATAGATTATATTGTGGGCATTGTCGTAGTGTGAGTGTTTCACCCACTAGACACTGTTACGTTCCTCTCACATAATGGGTCGTTCAGTCATTGTGATTTATTCATCCACTATCTTGTCGGGATTTGAACCCCACGAGATGAGAGAATTTTGGTTTTCGTGGGTGAGAAAAATGGGGGGCGGTATGGTCCAAAAAAGGAGTTAGAGGCCAAGAAATCACCACAGCATCATATCCAAACAGTGGATTCCTTCCTGTATAACTGATAACCATCAAGAACGCACTGGTTCATATTCCACACAACCAGCTTTTATTTAACAGTGACAGCTCAGAGCTGCAACATTGGACGGCCATTTTAACTCTGAGATAAACGCCAACACAATCTATTGTCCTCCACCTCCAATAGGGACAACAGAAAGTGGTGTTAATAATTCAGAAAATATTAAAGAAATTGGGAATGGTATATATATATATATATAGAGAGAGAGAGAGAGAGTCGAGGGTGGGTAGCTAGGGTGTTAGAAAGAAATTATTGGAGAATAAACAAATAAATCGGCATATAGTGTGGGTGTTGGATTTAATTGGCCAAGGATGAGTGGCTTGGATGGTTGTCCTTAAAGTTCATCTTTGAATTTGAATAGGTGTTAAGTGTCAAGTCCTCTATATCTATATATTCTTTGCGATTAGGCGTCAGGTACCAAATCTTTTGCACCTATCCTAGTTAGCCTAGCTAGGAATGAGTTGAGCTTCCAAGTCCATCCTGTGTGTCTATTCTTGGTTTGATGTTAGGTACGTACTAAGTCATTTGCGTCTATTGTTGACTAGGTGTGCTCATCTTTAGTAACTAAGGTCCTTACACCTAGGGCTTTAACAAACACTTGAGATTGGGATAATCAAAAGGTGTCTTGAACATTTGGCAAATGTGACCCAAATTAAATGTAGCATTTGTAGCTACCTTGTTTATGCATGATTACTTGAGCTGTTGGGAATAAGTTTAATTTAATTTTATAGAATAGCCTAAATTGTATAGAATAGACATATTTTCAGTTGATTCGGTTGAACTAATAGATTTCACCATACATACAAATCTGAAGCAGCGCAATTGGATGAGAATCAAATCTCTGTATGGCATTGAGGATATATGATGCTGTCCATGCACTTGCCCACATACATTTCTAAAGCTACACTAAACATTATTATAAGCTATAACTAATTCTTAGATCAAACGATATGATTACTACTACGCCAAAAATCAAAAGCTATAGCTTGCTGAGGCGCAACTTCATTTCTTTTTCATACAATGCCACCACATTTTTTAGAAATAATTAAGGTGCTTCACTTGACCATTTACTGGTTTCCGTCCAACATTTTCTATATAAAGTTACAAAGTCAATTTCTTCTAGAACATACATTCAGACAGCAACTACAAGCTTTCCATTATATTGAATTGAACCTAATAAAACATCCTCGATTGGCTCGTACTTATTATGTACATGTTACAACTTACAAGCAAGAAGTGAAGGATACATGCACCTCATGATTAAACCAGACAAACCACAAAAACCAAACCAGACAAACCTGCTACATTAAAGTATATATTACACTAAAAACCACGCACACTTAGCTTTGTAATATGATAGAAAGTAATTTGGTTGGTGTGGTCCATGCATGGTGCCAGTCGTCATACCGCCGACGGGTGGGAGTTGTGATCCGGTGTGGGAGTGTTGGACGGTTCGATTCTCCTCATTTTGATTCCCGGATAGTGTGATGACTGGTCGTCTTCGTCGTGGTACGCATATGCAAACCCGCCGTGCCTCGTCAGATCCATTCCATGGGTCTCATCTTCCGACGAGATTCTCAACAGTTTCAGCTTGTGTAGCATGTAGAACAGCGGCCCCATCGTGGCGGAAACCCACCCGAAAATCACCACAATCTGGATCATCTGTGCCGCCAGTAGCTTTCCGCCGCCGCCCATGAACAGCCCGTAAGGCCGGTCCGGGAGCCCCGGGTAGACTTCGTTGACGTAGCTCTTTTTCGCGAATAAACCGGTGAAGATTAGCCCCCATGCACCGCAGCCGCCGTGGAGCTGAGCCGCCTCTAGCGGGTCGTCGTACTTGCAGACGGCGGCGAGCTTGTTGGCCCCTATCAGAACCCACGCCGCCACGAATCCGCACACGATCGCCGCCCACGGCTCCACCACCGAACACCCCGAAGTTATCGCCGCGAATCCGCCGAGGAGTCCGTTGCACACGTCTATCACGTTCCAGTGCCCGACCAACAACCGCTTCCCAAACAGCGTCGTGAGCGCCGCCGTGCACCCCGCCAACGTCGTCGTCACGGCCGTCCTCCCCACGGCGCTCCACTGGCCGTAATATGGACCGGCGTCGGTGTCGTACGCTTTCAATATAGTTAAAAACGAACCGGGGTTGAACCCGTACCAACCGAACCACAGCAAGAAAGTGCCCAACACCACGAGCGAAGCGCTGTGGCCCCTCAGCGCCACGGACCGGCCCGTCCGGTCGAACCGGCCGATCCTCGGGCCTTCAATCAACGCCCCCCATAGCCCGGCTATCCCTCCCACCATATGGACCACCCCTGAACCGGCAAAGTCAATGGCTCCAGACCCGAACAAAAGATCGTTGTCAGTTTTTGATGCGCTGGCCCAACCGTCACCAGACCAGAACCAGTGCGAAACTATTGGGTACACAAAACCGGTCAGAAATGAAGAGTAGATGAGGTATGCCACGAATTGTGTTCTTTCTGCTATGGACCCACTTGTGATTCCTGAACATAATAAATAAATATTTTAATTTGCAAGCATTTTTAACCAAACAAACAAAGAAAATAGGACAAAAATATATATATATTAAAATGAAGAAAAATAACCTAAAAAGGAATGGTTGCTATAGTGTCTTGATAAAAATGTATTCAGTATATGGTTAATGGGCTTAAGACTATCGGGATCATAGTGGTCCACACCTAAACTCAAGGTCGATTCAGAACTGGTTCAATTGCGTGACCAGTTCAAATTGACATCATCACTAAAAAAATCGCTAGTCGTTCCTTGAACGTTCAGGATGCACCTAGGCGGGTGCCTAGACAAAATTTTAAGACTGATAATAGTTAATATTAAAAAAAAAAGAACAATAATTAAATGACCGACTAAGACTTGGTGCCTAGGAAGCCTAGGCAATCCATGGTGCTGGACGGTGCTTAGACAGCCTAGTCGGCCAGTCGCCTAAACCACCGTTATGGTGACCCATTATTGGCATATGTACCGGGCACCATGGAAAATTCACAAAATAAAAAAAGTGGAAAAGAGGTAGAATTTGGGCAGTGTTAGTTGTACCTGCAGCAGCTATGGCAAAAGCCCATTGATAAAGGAAGTAGCTATAGTCAGAGGCAGGAGAAGGGAAGTCTTTGAGGCCAAAGAAATGGCGGCCGATGAAGCCGTTGGAGGGGGATCCGAAAGCGAAGGCGAAGCCGAAGAGGTAATAGGAGAGGCCGCCGGCGGCGGCGTCGAGGACGTTGGTGAGCATAATGTTCATGGTGTTCTTGGCGCGGACGGAGCCGGCGCAGAGCATGGCGAACCCCAGCTGCATGGCGAACACCAGGTAGGCGGAGAAGAGGAGGTACGTGTTGTCCACCGCGAATTTCGTGGCCGTCAGTTGGGCGGAGAAGGCCGTCAACTGGCCGCAGATGAAGTTCGCCGCACCCGTCGCGTTCACGGCTCCGCCCAGAAGTGGGCTGAGCTCGGAGGCGGAGCAGCTCAAAGAGGCCATAGTTGTCGAAGAAATTAAAGGCTTTGGAAGTGGAACTAAATATGAAAAAGTCTGTCTCTATTGCGGCTATATATATAGAGAGGCGGCCATTCTTTTTATAGCATCATTATATTCATAAGTTCAAATTTAATTTAATTTAATTTAATTTATTGTGCTTTGTTTGGCTTGAAAAATTACATGATTTTGACATCTACATATGTCAGCAACGGAGCAAGTGAAAAAATAAAATAATTACCGATATTTTATTAAAAAAATTACCATGTCCTAATCATCATTAGAGAGTGGGGATATATATAATCAGAAAATGTTTAGATTAGATTTCTTGATCTTAAAAGTCTTCAGATGCATATTCATATAAAAATTAAAGAAAAAAAAAGGAGAAAGAATCCAATATGAATATACAACAGGTGACCAAGAATCTATTGCCAATAGTAGGGTGGTCCTTTTTGCCCAATTGCCGCATAACTAGCGAGGAGATGATATAATCGCGTAGAAATTTGTGAAATGAGATGTGATAATCAATATTAATTAATGATAAAAAAAAGTTGCTTGATATTAATGATTAATAAGTTACAATTTAGTGTTGTGATAATTTGACTTTGCAGCCCAACCTAACGGATGTAAGACTTGTAGTTGGAATCATTGTTAAAAAAATTGAGATTATCATCGAGAAATAATCACTTTTATGACTAATTAAGAGTCAATTACACTACATAACTGTGCTACCGGCCTGTATCGTTCATTTGGGCGATTATTAATGAATTCAATTTGTTGCTTTCAAAAAGAGTCAACTATATACCTATGTAGTGTGATGATACATATTTACACAGAAAAAAAAAAGTCAAAATTACAATTCATCTTTATCTTTATCTTCATATATAATAAAGCATAATTTAGCCACAAAATTTTCCCTCCAAAGTGTGAATGCATTTTTATAGAAACAAGATTAGCAAGTATGAATGCATTAATTGTGTGGGTAGATGTATTTATACATACTTTATACTTATATATATATATATATATATATATATATATATATATATATATATATATATAATAAAGCATAATCTAGCCACAAAATTTTCCCTCCAAAATGTGAATGCATTTTTATAGAAACAAGATTAGCAAGTATGAATGCATTAATTGTGTGGGTAGATGTATTTATACATATTTTTTTTTTGAAATTATTATGTGTATTTATATTTTATAAATTATATTTTATTATTATAGCTCTATTTCTATCTCTATCTTTATATATATTAAAGCATAATGAAATATGAAAAAAAGTTTGTTGTGTTCAAATTTATTGGTAAAGTTTTATGTTTAATATAATTTGTGTATATATTCATTTAAACCTCAATTATAATTAATTTGACTGCACATATATAAAGATGAGAAATTAGATATAAAATAAATATAGTGCTTACATAAATAATCTTATTCATTCTTGGTGGAGATTTTCGACAAATATCGCCTGTTATTTTATTTACAAGTTTTATTTGAATACGTTAGTTATATAATTAAAGTAGTTATTTCAAATTCAAATTCATTTTTTTAAAAAAAATCAAATTCAAATAATAATACAAGTAACAATAAACTTTAAAATCAACATAGTATCCCTCTCCCAATTAGGGTTTTCTCTCCATCTCTCCCAATTAGGGTTTTCTTTTACGTTTTCCGAGCGCACTCAACACGATCTCGGCGAGTCTCCGGCAGGGAGGACACCAGCATGGCATCTCCCACACGACAGCAGCATGACGGTGGTGTGGCGAGAATGGCAGAGCGGTGGGCCGATTTGGTTCTAGAAGATGAAGAAGAAGGGGTGATGGTCGAAGGGGTAGGGCAGCCGGTGATTGGCGATCCAGCGGTGGTTTACTCTGTTGTGGGCAAGTTCTTGACGGCCAAACTTATTAAGGTCGAGTATATGCGGCAGGTGCTTGCGTCCGTTTGGATGCCGGTCATGGGAATGAGGGTTACGGAGATGCATGCGAATTTGTTTCTCTTTGCCTTTTATCATGAAACGGACATGGTACGGGTGCTTGAGGAGGGGCCCTGGTCTTTCGAGAATCATACTCTTGTATGCAGACAGGTTCCGGATGGAATGCTTCCGGGGGAGGTAAAATTGGATACTGTAGATATGTGGGTGCAGGTTTACGATCTACCGGTTGGATATACTGATAATAAGATTCTGGAGCAGGTTGGGAATTATGTTGGGAAGTTCATCCAGTGTGATAACTGACAGGTTGGTGGACCGGTAAAGATTTTTTATCGGGTCCGAGTGGCGGTACCGGTGGACAAACCTTTGAAACGGCGTATGAAGTTGATTCGTAGGGACAGAACATGGGGATGGGTTAATCTGAAATATGAGCGTTTACATAATTTTTGTTTCTATTGTGGGATGCTTGGCCAGCTGGAGAAGTTTTGTTTGAAAGCACGAGTGTCCGGTCTCACTCCGGAGTTCTATCCATATGGACCGTGGATGAGAGCGGGGCAGAATAAGGGTCCCAGGCAGGTTGGTGCGGCATGGCTTTTACCACCGGTAGAGGGGGCGGGTTCGGCTAATGGCTATCGCCAGAGAGTGGAGGGAACAGCCTCCTCCGATGATAGCCAGAGTGATATACGGATGTCGGCTTCGGATGATGATGTAGCGGAGGGTGTGGTGGCCTCCTCGAAACGCCGCCGTGCGGTGGTGGGCCAGGATGGTGGAGAAACGGATGTGGATAGTGGTTCAAAAAACTTGCATATGGCGGGAACTGGTGCCCAGTCCCGCCCGAACCAATGAGTACTTTGAGCTGGAACTGTCGTGGCTTGGGTAATCCACAGACAGTTCAGGAAATTGTGGACATGGTGTCCCGTAAGAAACCCGATTTTGTATTTTTAATGGAGACTATGGTAGCCCGGGATCATGCAGAGAGACTCCGGGTGAAGATTGAGTTTGATGGCCTTTTTTATGTTGACAATGTAGGAGTGAGAAGTGGTATGGCGCTACTGTGGAGGAAAAACAATACGGCTAGTTTGTTGAGCTACTCAAAGAACCGTGTGGATATAGAGGTGAGTATACCAGGATTTAATAAGTGGAGAATGACGGGGTTCTATGGTTTTGCACAGCGATGGAGGCGGAATGAGTCATGGGAGCTTATTAGATATTATCACATCGACGAGTGTGGTTTGGCCCAGTTGCCAATACAGGGATACCCGTATACATGGGAGAGGGGTGAAGAGACTGTGGACTGGATTGAAGAGAGGCTGGATAAGGTGCTGGTAACACAGGAATGGCGGGACGTGGTTAGGGATGCCAGTGTCTTAAACATTCTGACCCGACAATCAGACCATTCTGCTCTTTTCCTTGGGATTCTGAATCTTCGGGAAAGACGGAATAGAATGAGACGAAGGTTCCGTTTTGAGATGGCTTGGCTACATGATGAGGGTTGCAGGGGAGTTGTGGAGAAGGCCTGGGTAGAAGGGAGGAATAAGGGGCTACAGGGTTGTATTCAACTCTGTGGAGACAGATTATCACGATGGGGAGGAGATAGATTTCATAAGTTTGGTGAACAGGCAATGAATCTTCGTAAACAGCAATTGCGTTTACGGGGGTGTATGGATCAGGCATCATTAGCAGAATACCAGCGATTGGAGGGATGTCTGGCTCAGATTGAAATACAGGAAGATGCGTATTGGAAACAAAGGGCAAAACATGGCTGAAGGGAGCGGATGCAAATACGAAATTTTATCACAGGTATGCTTCTCACCGTAAAAAGAAGAATACACTTGTTAAAATTATGAATGATGATGGGAATTGGGTGGAGGGAGAGGCTATGGGGACTGTTATAGTTGATTATTACAGGCGTATCTTTGCTACGGGTCAGACTGAGACTGATACGGAATTTTATGCAAGTATTTTATCCCGGGTGTCACAAGCACAGAATGATGACCTGTTACGGCCGTTTGACAGAACGGAGGTCAAGGCTGCGTTGACAGCTATGTTTCCTGATAAGGCACCAGGTCCGGATGGAATGAATTCGGGCTTTTATCGGAATTATTGGGATGTGGTGGGTGAGGATGTGTCAGACTTTATTGTGAATTGTCTGAATACTCGTTCTTTTCCAGCTAATTTGAATGATACTGATATAGTTTTGATCCCCAAGAAAAAGATTCCGGAGTTAGTCTCGGATCTCCGGCCAATAGCGCTGAGTAATGTGATCTATAGAGTCATGGCAAAGATGATCTCGGCCAGGATGAAACCCCTTATGAATGAGATTGTTTCTGATATGCAAAGCGCATCTATACCTGACAGGCTGATAACGGATAATATTCTGATTGCTGCGGAAGTTGGTCACTTTTTGAACAGAAAGCAGTGTGGTATGACGGGATGGGGTGCGTTAAAATTGGATATGGCAAAGACATATGATCGTATGGAATGGTCGTTCCTACGTAATATGTTGATGGCGTTGGGATTTGATGGTAGGTGGGTGGAGCTAATTATGTTATGTGTGACCACTGTGTCTTATAATATTTTACTGAATGGCTCTCGTAGTTTGCCTATTACTCCGACGCGTGGACTTAGACAGGGTGATCGTTTATCCCCGTACCTCTTTATTATCTGTGCAGAAGGTCTATCACTGCTACTACAACAGGCGCAGACCCAAGGAAAAATTCATGGTTGTAGAGTTGCGAGAGGTGCACCACCTATATCCCATTTGTTTTTTGTTGATGATAGCTTGTTGTTTTTTAAGGCAAAAATACACGAAGCTGAGGTGATTAAATAGTGTTTAACACGATATGAAAGATTATCTGGCCAAGTATTCAATTATCATAAATCAAGCATCTGTTACAGTAAGAATACGAGGGATGATGACAGGAATGATGTGGCACATATCTTAGGTGTGAACCAAGCTCCCAACTATGGGAAGTATTTGGGGCTACCCTCTTTTATAGGGAGAAATAAAAAGGCAGCTTTCTCGTATATTGAGGTCAAGATCAGGCAAAGAGTTGTATCCTGGAATAAGAAACTATTATCACAGGTTGGTAAGGAAGTTTTATTAAAGAGTGTGG